CTACTATAATTATTATGTTGCAGAGGTTGTGGGGGGCCTTTTCTGAGTCCTCCAAAAGGATGGCTTTATTAGGGCCACATTAAGACTGTCGAGACAGAAGAGTGTTTCATGGATACATGAAGTCTATGAGTTGGGGGTACAATGTATATAGAGTTTTAGATTAAAACTGCATCCAATAAGTTGGCCTGACACATCTTTCAAACCTACAGAGGAATAATCACAAGTGACTAGTATTATTCCTTTGGGTCCAGTGGAAGCCTTTGATCTTCATGTGGAATGGACCCAGAACCGTACCCCAGCATTTTATCATACAGCAACCTTAACTCTGACACAAAGGTGTTTCTTTTGTTTGTTTTGAGGCTGGGTCTCGCTCTGTTACACAGGCTGACTGCAGCGGTGCAATCTCGGCTCACTGCAGCCCCTGCCTCCTGTGCTCAAGTGATCCTCCCACCTCAGCCTCCTGAGTAGCTAGAACTACAGGTGTGTGCCACCATGCCTGGCTAATGTTTGTACATTTTGTAGAGATGGGGTTTCACCATGTCGTCCAGGCTGGTCTTGAACTCCTGAGCTCAAGCAACCCTCTCTCCTTGGCCTCCCAAAGTGCTGGGATTACAGGCACGAGCCCAAAGGTTTTGTATTATTTTCCTGCCCCCAACTTTTTATTTTAAACATTTTGTTTTTTTCCTTTAAGCCTTAGGATGACTGGGAAGCCTTTTTGAATGGTATAATGAACACCTGTATAAAACTTTCATCTAGAATCAACAGTTGCTAATAGTTTGCCACATTTGCTTTCCATGTGTGTATCTCTATACATTTTCTGGACAAGCCATTTGAGAGTCAGTTGCAGACATAATGACCCTTCACCATTAAATACTTCAGTGTGCAGCCCCTAAGAACCAAGGCATTCTCCTACATAACCAGAATACTATTATCACCCAATGGAACTTAATATTATCATTGTCTACTATGTAGTCCATATACACATTTTCACAATGTCCCAGTCATCACATGGCTTAAACAAATTCAGAATCCAGTCAAACATCAGACATTGCACTTACTGCATGATTCTTTAGTCTCCTTCAATCTAGAACTGTTCCCAGGAATGTTTTAAGTATACTGACAAACCTTTGAGACTCTAAATGACCTGAGGTGTATGTTATCCTTACTTGAGAATAATTTTTCAATATGCATTAAAGATCATTACACATGAGCCAAGACTCAAATGCGCTGGCCTACTTACTTTGTATATCAATGTGTAAACTCCTGAAGACTTCCAGTAATGAACTCCCATAAGGCAGTTAGTTCAATGTCTTTATGGCCTCGGTGACAAATGGTTACAGAAAATGAGAGCTTTTTTCCTATCCACTAATGGTCAAGAAAAAAGCAGACAGATCCTCACTGTCTTAGAGAACCAAGTGAGAAAGCTGGTCGATGAAGAGGACTTCATCCAGAGAGGAAGGGATCTAGCTGACAGGGAAGATGCTGCAAGAGGCTGAGGGAAGTGCGGCTAGAGCAGTAAAACAGATCTGACAGCCTGGAGAAGATAAGAAAGTGACCTGACAAAAATGAATGGAGCAGAGTGCTAAATGAAGGGCCCTTTCCATGCTAATCTTGCATACTGCCCTCAACCAGCCTTAGCATAAGAGAGTTTCTATTTAGCTTGCTATATGGTGGGGTGGTGGCACTATTTAAGTTGCAGTAAAATGTGTAACAAACTCACAATAGGGCCCTGCAGGCATACATATATA